AAGAATAAGTCAAGTATTCATGTGAGAGATCTTCAAATGTTTGAGAAGACCTAATGTGTCCTATCTGAAAGGGATCTTTATCCAGTTTTGTGAATTGCATTTTGTTTAACAAAACATGTTGTTGGCCACCTATACATGGGCCTGAATTAATTATTGTTCCCCTTAAAAGACATGGACTAAAATTGTATACAGTACAGGATGGAGATAGAATGCAGATTAGGTGAATATATCATATTGATGGTTATAATCAGAAAGCATTACCCTATAAAGAAGAAAAGATAAATGTTTCATTGTGGGGTTAGAGTAGTGAAATAAAGAGAGCCCTCAGTTTTAGCCGACTTTACCACGATTCTAATGTGTGTATTCAAAATAAAGGCATAACTAATCTTCTGGTAACCACGATTTTTTTAAAAAATCAAGACTCATTCCTTATAAAAACAGAACATTAAAGTTGTGATTATATTAACACAAAGAATTAGAGACTTTCTAGATATGTATGCATAGACACACATCTAAAGGCTTGATTTGGGGAAAACTTTTTTTTAGTTGTGGTAAGGGCAGAATTCAGCCAACCAACCATGGAATTAATAAATCTGAACCCACCCAAAATAGATTAGACTTAATACTGAAAACATAAAAATGTTGAGGAAAACAAAAAAGAGTCTATCATCAGTTTGGGCTCTAACCCCAAGTCTGCCACACTGTTTAGCTTGGTGATCCTTTTGTATCTGATGCTTGAAATTTTCTACAAGCACTGATGTCCCACCATTCCTTACTCAAAACACTCTGTCAAGTGTCTTCCCACACTGCCTTTTAAGAGAACTAATACCATCACTTTCATCTGATTTAGATATTTATTTCATATTTGCCAGAAGATTCTGGCCAATGTTTTTGAAAGCACATTTAACTATACCATATGCCTCCCTAAATCATCTCTCTCAAACAAGCTGTAGGATAAGGCTCTGGTTCATTCCATTCTGTTTTTCTTTCTTCACAATGTGTTTATGTATATTTACCCAATTTGCTCTGTTCTTCTTGCCAAATTACAGGTTTGAGATCTTAACTACTACAGAGTAGCTGTGCTATTGTTGATGTCTCACAAAACAAGGGTCAGAGAACAAACCACGGTAAGGTGTTGTGCTACCTGCACATCACGTTGTGAGGATACCGCCTGTCAGTGAAGGGCCAACGGTCTTTAAAGAGGTCATCCTATTTGAATTTAGAGAAGGCATTTTCATACTAAAGAACCAGTGGGACAAATAGACTCCAAACTAATCTACAGATTTTTCTTGGTAAAATAATTTTTAGTCATGTGGCATTGTAAGAGTGTGTCCAGTGAAAGAAATAAAAAAAAAAATCTCACTGTTACCACCATTACCTTCCTTCTACCTGAATATTAAGAAATTCTGAGCTGGGCATGGTGGTGCACTCCGGAGGCTGAGGCAGGAGGATCTCTATGAGTTCGAGACCAGCCAGGGCTACATAGTGAGTTCCAGGGCAATCTCAACTACATAGTGAGACCCTGTCTCAAAAAACCAAAAACCAAAACAAAACAAACAAAAAAGAAATTCTGCATCTTAGCCTAAATATATCAATATCAAATAAGGAAATGCAAAAGCATAGGTCTCTATTAAACAAAGTTCTTGGAAATCTTGTTCTGCTTACATTCAGCAATAATATTCCTGGGTAGGATCTGCCCAGACACCTTTAAGTTTGGCTTATTCTGTAACATCAATGTCTGAAAGATCTATCTATGCCTTAGCTGCTCTACCACAGTCTTAGTCTCCATCTCCGAGCAAACATCTTCATATTAACGCTTTTAACCCAAAATCCACAAGCCCTAAATTTTTAAAAGAATAATCCTAAAAAAAAAAAATTGCAATTCAGGATGGAACATAAAAACGAGAAAAGACCTGATACAGCAGGCTAATGAGACAAGGCACATGGCCATGGATCCAGCTCTGAGACCATGCATCTGGCTTTGAGGCCGTCTGTGCAGGGCTACTTCACCAGAGTGTTGTTAATTATTTAAGGGAGAGAACAGGGGGAACCAACGCCACATCTGTCACCCACACACAGGAAAAAACCTTCATTCATTGTTGGGCCAGATGTGTTTATTTGAAACATGGACTAACTAGCTATTTAATGGGTTTGAATTCTTAGCCAAAAGCTAATTAGGCAAACATATTAAGCTTCAGTCACCTTACAAGGCTAAACTGTTTTAGTTGTGTTGATTTTAATCCAATCTCATAAGAGCTCATCACCTACAAAAGTATCTAAAGAAATTTCAAAGCAAAGGAAAAGGTCCAAATTACTTGCAACATAGCTAAACAAAACATATAATGATGTCCCCTAATACCTAATACATTAACAAATAAGACCTTCTAATGCTTTGCCTCAGTAGTGTAATATGCCTGATATTAAAAATATAACACGAATCTTTCAGATGTATCCCTACCCCAAAGCATTCTGTTTGCCCGTAGGCAAAATATTAAGACCTAAAGCTAAATGTATAATATCTCATATTTGATATTTATCATGTTATGTGTAATTTTAAAAAATCGTATCTCCCTAGTATTTAGCATATCTGTAAATCATTAAAAAAATATCAGGTGACTCTGTAGTGCTCTATTCAAGAGGAGACTGGTCCAGGGATTTAGTTCAGTGGTTCCACCACCTGCCTCACAAGCACAAGGACTTGAGTTCGATTCCTAGCACCAAAAAAAAAAAAGAGACTATAACCAAAGCCAGGTTCTAGAGAAAAGAATGCCAGAGCCTTGGACAATATTGTATTTATTGATAAGTACTTTGGAAAAGAAAGTAATCTGCCTTCCTTAACTGTTCATTCTTATTTACTGATCTTGTTTTTTTAATGGTATGTCCTCCCAAAATAGGACTCTCACCAGTTTTCTCCTACCTGATACAGGGTTCTCCTTCAACAGACCAATGACCTCCTTAAGCTCTTCATGTTTTTTGAAAAGCCAAAATATCTGAGAAAAAGTCATTCACTGTTTCATCCAACAAATGCTTAGTCAACCTACTATATATCAGGCACAAGGTAGGGTGCAAGAGATAAGATAAAGAAAATTTATCTCCGCAAAAAAGAGACACAACAGCAAACAAATAAGTGCTTTGGAGAAAATGAAAATATAAAAAAGGAAATGGAAAATGACAGACCCAAAGATGGGAGCAGACTGCTTGATCAATAGGGTGGCTGGAGAAGGGACTACTGAGGTGACATTGGAACAGACATGGAAGAAGTGAGGGACCAAGCCATGCAGAGAAGAGTATCCCAAACAGAGAACAGCACGTATAACAGCTGTGCTGAAGTAAGGGAGAGCTGATGTGGTAAAGGAGCAGAAAACAGGCCAATGTGACCATCCCTGAGTACAAAGGAGTCACCAAGAGGTGAAGTCTGAGAGGTGGAGAGGTAGTGAGGGGTCAGCTCCTATAGAACCTTGTAGAGCACTGTAAGGGTGAGTCTTTTGTTCAAGGTGGGAGGAGGAACTTGATGCCAAGAATTTTAAGTGTAAGGGTGACTGAAACCTATCTGCTGCAACAGGATCACTCGTGCAAAAGACAGAAACAGAAAAATCAGCTCAGAGGATATTAAAACGGGCAAGAGATGTCAGGAGTTTGATCTAGCATGGCAGGAGGAGTGAGCTGAGACTGAACTCTCCATCTATTTTGAAACTGGAGCTGAAAAAATTTACGGGTAGATGACATGAGAGAGAAATCAATTATGGCTCAAAGATGGACAAAAAAGGATGGAGATGCCAATGACTAAAAGGCAGCTTGCAGAGATGAGGGGAATGATAAGGAGGACCAACATGGAATCATAAATTCAATAAAACAAGACCAAATTTCAATAGATTCATCACAGCTAACAAAAGGAAGTCATCGAGTATTACTGTAGACTTAGGGTCAAGGTAGTTCCGTGTAAAACTTACCTGCCTCAAAATAATTGCTGTATACGTTTTAGCAATAGAATTCAATCCAGTTATTCACAACACCTTTAATAAAGTTTATCATTATTTTCTAATAATTTTTTGCTAAATGTTTTTAAATTGTTTTCAATGAATTCCAGTGCCAGTCTAATTCCGCCAACAAAATGCTGTGACATAGCACTGTATTATAGATATGACCAGAAAATGAATAATAGCTTTACCTTTTGTAAGTTATATCGATCTATTTAAAATAGAAAGTTGCTGTTGTGCTAATGTGTTTTCATGGCAAGAATATGTTGTGCAGCAGATACTGTGAACATTTAAGCACTCACAAAAACAAAATGCTCAAGTCAGCTTTGAAATACTAGCACGATTTTCTTGGATTCCCCAGAAGAAATTGGATCTTCATTCTCAGAATATTGATTCAGATTTTGGATTATGTTTTCACATATTTAATTTTTCTCTACTCTCAGGGAAAGATGAGTGTGACGTCATCCTAGAAAACTGTTCTATTTGTTATTAAAATTTACTGTTTTTGGGCTACAGAATACCTGAAATATTTACAATCACTTGATTCATAACAGAGAGGGCAGAAACAAATCACAAATGGAAATAATGAGTTACTGTTAAAACTATTTGTGATTCAAATAAAAGCCTTTCTTCTGAACTAAATATCGGAAACAGCTATCATCAGAGTATATTGCCACATTAAAAAAAAATGTGTGCAGACCTTAAGAGAAACAGGACAAAATTAAAACAGAAGTTGGTAAAAATGTACAAATATTACATGGTCCAAAGTGTGTCATAATAAGCCATGTTTCAATTGTTCTTTAACTTTAATATTCATCAAATACTATCTACTCAAAATTTCACTTTATAACTGTGTGAATGCATGTGTGTGTCTAAATTCAACTTTCTAAAGTTCAAATTAATAGCTATATAGGTTTTAACAGTAGAATTCAATCCAATTATTGATAGTACCTTTAAAATATCATTATTTTCTAATACTTTGTTGCTAAAATTTTTTTAAGTTGTTTTCAGTGAAGTACTTACTCTCCAGCTTTATTCAGGATGGGTGCAGGACAAAGCATAGAATTAAGCTGTACACTTACTGGTCTTACACCTAAAAAATAGAATGCCACTGAATTAATAAAGACTCCTATACATCTCACACAGTTTTTATTCATAATATGAAGAGTTCTGTAATCAGAGTTCAACTGTGGATTACTAAATATATTAGCAAAACAAGTGGAGGGAGAGGAGAAAGGAAGGGAATAAAAACTTTTAAAAGATAACATGCCACACTGCTAAAGAGTTAGCTGAAACAGGAATCAGGATTTCTTTCTTATATTGACCAAGTTTATCTACAGGTATAAGTACTATAAAAATATCTGAAAAAATATATTTGTTCCTGAAAAGGTATATATACATGTATATGTGTATACATATATGTGCATATACAAGCAAAAGCAGAAAAGATGGAAAAAAGAAAAAGAACCCATTGCATAAGTCTAATGAATTATTTTCATCTATAAAAAATATACTTTTATCTAAATGCTTCAATTTACCTTATAGTTTTAATAATATATGAGAAAAAGGATCTACACTAAAGTTTTCAGGAAGTTGTATACTTGGGCAGGCATTTAGCTCAGTGGTGCCACTGCCTGCCTCCCAAGTGCAAGGTCCTGTTTGATCCCCAGTACAAAAAAAAAAGTTATATAATCAATGGATTATCCTAGAATGTAAATGATGAAAATTCAAGTCCAGCTGCACTTATTTTTTTAGAATTTACTTTAATAAAGTAAAGTTTGCTTAGCTAAGGAATGTTTATAATATAATCAATTTAAATATGTAATCAAAAGAAATCAGACAAAGCTACCACATGGATATAAATGAATTGCTGAATAAAAATAAAACTGGTTTGCCCTATTCCATGTGGAATCTATTAAGTGACTGTTACAAATGTTACTGTTTTGAGTTACCAAAACGGTAATCTTAATAAGATTGACTATGAAATTTTCTATGCTGAGATTTTTACCACTTTCATTCAATAATGACATACTGAACAATTACTCTGTATGTGGCCAAGGCTCTGATAACTGAGGTGTTTAATGCCATCAGATAAATGGCAACATCGTAGACTATCTCTCATAAGAAAACTCTATTAGAGTTCATGGAATTATAGAATCTGCCTTACAAAATAAATCTCTAAAGGACAATACAATCATCAATGGAGAAAAGAAATGGTTTAACAGAGACTCAAAATGCTCAGAAAACTAAGATCCATTTAGTACAATTATCAAGAAACACTATGCTGAGTGAGAATTCAAAACACAAAAGATCTCTATGATGAAACAAAAAAAATCTTCAAAAACCAGACAAATTACTGCAAAATTCGATGAAGAAAACAAAAGACAAAAAAATAAGATAATATGTGATAGAATAGTACAAGATTACTATATTTTAAGGCAAAAGTGGCAAAACAAAAATGTCTTAGAAAGAAGCAATTCAATCAAGTGTTTGGTGTGGACAGACCAGCCAGGTGGCGAATGAAAACTGGATTGAGGTATGAGCTCTGCCCACTATTAGCTGGGTTACCCAGGGCTAATTATTTTATTCTTTCAACCACAAACTATCATCTGAATAAACAGGCTCACCATTTACTAATTTATGAACAAATGTTGCTATTATTAAATAATTATTACTGAGTCTGGTTTATTTTGTTCAAAATTATGATCTCTGGATTCATACATTTTTTCTACAAATGACAAAATTTTGTTTTTTAATGCCTGAATAACATTCCATTATATATACACACACACACATATATATATAACTCTTTATCCATTCATGCAGAGTTCATGTTGAGCTCTGAAAAAGATGATAAGAAAGTAGAACAGAGCCTAGGAAGAAGTGGGAGGAGGAAGTGTACAGGGTTGGTGATAGCAGCACGGATTCCATCAAAATCAGTACTTACAGAAAATCCTCTAACAATAACAATAACAGCAACAACTGCTACAATGGTGAAACTGGCATGACAGTGGGGCAAAGGAAGTAACGTGAGAGGATGATTAAAGCAAGCTGTGAGCATGTGCAAATCTTAAAATGAAACCCATTAATCTGTATAAACTATATGCACTAATAAAAATGTGGAATAAATTATTACTATTCACATATCATTCATGACTTTACTTCTCTATTCTCTGATTGAAAACTATAGCATAACTGATCTTAGCTGGAAAAAAGAGAAAAACACAGCCCACTGCTGTGAGAGGATAAAGTGACATCACCAGTGCCGGGCACCTACTCCTTGTGTATGTTTCGTTCACAGTGTAAGTACAGAGAGCGCTGCCATTCCGACTGCCCAACATGAATCCTCTTCCACTCAGAACAATCTGAAATTCCTCTAGAAGTAAAAGAAAATATAAACATTTTAATTGCTGATTTACTAAAAATTTTAAAAAATATTTACTGGAAATTAAAGCATCAAGGAAAACAAAATGAATTTCTTCATAATATTTCATCAGCTATCAACCGTAAAGACAGTTCTATATTTTCAACTGTGCTTGCTTTCTTTGACCCACCGGATAAATGTAGTGAAAATACCATTCACTGCCACATCAAAATGCATTATTTTCTTTTCTACACAAATTGTTTTCCATTAGTCATCAAGGTATGAGGATTAAAGCATAACACTCACTCCCAAACAGATACCTCACAAAATTCCCCAAACAATATCCCTACAAGAATATTATCAAGAAAAAAAATCTCATTTTTCTCTACTTCAGGTATTTCTGTTTGGGTAATTATTTAGAACTAGTTATTTAGGGTCTAGAATTCTTAGAAACCAATTAGGTAATTATTTAGAACTAATTATTTAGGGTCTAGAATTCTTAGAAAAGCCAAGTAGTTTATTTTCTTTAAGTGTCTCTTATATAGAGTTTTTCTTTAACAGTTTCTTCACCTTGCTAAACCTGACTTCCTTTTCTGTTGCTTATAAATTTGTAAATTGTCAGAGGATCATGTATTTCGTATTACTGATAATGAGCAACCAGTCACTTATGTTAGAAAGTGAAAGGATATGCTAGAAGAAAAGTTAACAGACCGGATAAATACTTTCATAGGTAGTAAATGCTAGAGGGAATGTTGACTATTTGTAAAGCAATTAACTCTTATTAAAGAGGTGAACCAGGGCATAATACAATGTGAAAGAGTTTACGTAAGCAAACTGTGATTCATGACTTGGGCAGGTCCGAGTCAGAAGTGGTTCCAGAACTGCACCGCAGAACAGCAGGGGCAGGTATTTATAGCACAGACATCAAAGTTAAGCAAGGAAAAAATTCAATTTGTTACAGTTCTACAATGCCTTATTTGGTCTGTCCAATTGGGAAGTTCCTATTTATATAATTACAAATGTATTGGTTGCTTTTAATTGGATAAACTTAGATTCTCTTTGTCTTTGGCACACTCCTTAAGGTTCCCCTAGTTTGTAAACCAAGCAAAAGTCACTAATAGGGCCTAACTGGCTTAGTTCAGGCCTCGTGTCCATTTGATTCACTGCTGACAACCTCAACCTCCTCAGTCTTCTCCTGTCTAACATGATCCAATACACATATAGTTATTAACTATGGAAGCGAAATCTACCAGGTCACACTCTTCATTTAGTGTGCTATAAAAGTAAGTTTACTTAAAAGTTGAAACACAAAATAAGATAAAACTTAAAATGAGATTCAGTAAGAGGATGGGCATTAGTGTCAAACAGATGAACATCTAACAGAACAATTACTAATAGCAAGCACTAAACCCTGGCTCTGTGTCCATTTTCCCCATTTGGGATCCAGGGGTTATAAAATCATTTTGTAAGAATCAAATAGAGAATTTTATTTTTCCATTTATTTTTCTTTGTTATTCAGAAATGTATTGACCTAGACCTTTAAATAAGATAACCTTGCTCTGGATTGCCTGGATGCTTTACTTTTCTTCAGGATCTCAAGGAGCATTCATTAAGGAGTCTACAAGATACAGAGCCTAAGGCCATGTGTAGCAGGCTTGAAGGTTCTGTGGTAAATTACACAACATATGCCCTTCCCTACCAGACTCCATATATCTCCCTGTCTACACAAAGTCAGGTTAAAACAAACTCTAGGTAAGACTTGAAGAAGAAAAGAAAAAGGCCAGTGGGAATCGGACTGTCCCTGGAAAAAGATGGCTAGGAGGTGCAAAAACCTGAGTCTATTCTGAGCAACAGCTGATGAAGCCACCTGCTTCCTTCCTGCCGTGTGCCCATAAGTCACTTCCTTACACACCTTGAGCTGGCAGATCCTGTTAACTGACCAGGTCATCAAAGCATGACATGCAAAATCTACAGATACCTGACTGTTTCCAGAGTCAAATAAAATATTTCATATTTTATTTTATTTGTGGTAGGAAAGGTCTCAAATGTGAACTAAATATACAGAAGATTCTAAAAGCCTGTCACACAATATGCTCATTATTTAAAATAACACTTCAATCTTAAAAATTTGAATTTAAAATAGAAATATTTCAAGGAATTATTTAAAAATTCTTACACAAAAAGGATGCCAAAGAAGTTAATTTTGCTATTCTCTTTCCAACATGAGTTTCAAACCATATATTTTAGCTAGAAAAAAAAAATGCCATTTCTTACATGGTATTTTTAAATTCCAAACACTTACCCCCCACACAGACACTTGAAGGACTCAATTCCAGGATTTCAGTACATGACTGGTCTAGTATCTAAAAAGGAAAAAAAAAAAAAAAGAAGTCCAAGCTATAGAACTAAATTATGACATGTGGAGGAAATTATAAAATTACTAATAACCTCGGGGTAGTCTCCTTACTTCTATAGAAGTGGCAGAGAAAAAAAAAACTATTATATGTATAGCTACCAAGGTCTTGGTATACTTGTTCGTTGTCTCTTTGGACATATTTTAATTATATCACAGTATTCTTATTTGATAGATTAAGTCCAGAAAACCACAAGTAAAGTGTGTGCTTCCTCAAAGAGTAGTAGTCGTGGCCAAAATTAGACCTCCCGTTTAATAATGCTAAGTTATGTTTTCTATTTAGAAGTTTAACATAATATCAATAAATTGGCACTTTTTTATTTGACTGTGGCATTTGTAGTCCATTTCTCAGGCTCAATTCCCACGGATAGTAATCCTTCCTAAATGCACCAAGTATTACACTTGCAGAACACAGACTCTTTGTAAGAGCCAAATATTATCCTCAAAAACACAGACTGTATTCAAGCATTCCCAAGGCACTGGAACAGAATGGCTCCACTCAGCTTGTTCTGAAAAACAGAAACCACCATACAAGGCACAAGGCTACAAGGGAAAATGACAGGGACGGAATAAGCTGCTCCTAATGGTAGCAACAATTCTGCCTTTATTTTTAGAACTGCCCTGCTCTCCATTATCAAAATCAGACACACTCCAGATGATCTCTGAGTGGCATTCCTTTCTTGACGGAAGTTAAAGACAGATGATGTGTGGTGGTTTTAGCTTCCCCTGCTCATAACTAAAACAGGAAGGAAGGACTGCAACAGGAAACAGAAACGCTTTCTGTGCTTTCTTTAACAGCAGTGGAACTACAATTTCTCCGATCTAAATCAAAGGTTCAATCATGGGATTTGCAGTGCTGAACGTGCATCTCTGGAAAGGGACCTCATTGGGACTGTTTGAGATGACTTCCCAATAAGTACAACTTTTCATATAGTGACTAAAGCTGCAGATTGTGACATAAGTCCAGTTAGATTTCATATTTGAGAAATACAATCAACACACTCCGAGATTCAAGAATTGAGGAGCATTGTCAAAGGTTCATATATCGCCTTGGATGTCTCATATTTCAAATCATTAACATCTTTAAAGATTTTGACAGAATTCAGATAACTGGACTAGAGGAAAACAGGGAGAAAGGTTTGGCAAAAGAACATGACACCAAAAATGTCCCAACTCACAAAAATGGGCATTAGCTTTGGCAATCTGATGTGAAAGGGAGAACAGTGAGCCATGAAAATGAAGGTCTAAGAAAATTCGAAATCCCCAAATGTATTGCGTCTGCTATCAATTCAAAAGACATTTATTTCAAAATAGACACCATTAAAGTAACTAATGGAACCTTTCAGTTTACAGTTTATTTATTTTATCCACTCTATCAAGATTACTGACAAATGTTTAAGTACCAAGGAAAATTATGGAAGATCTTTAAAGACTGTATTCATTAGAAATAATTTGCATAAACCTCAAATAAAAATCATAAAGGGATTTTCTAAGGAGCGTGTCAGAGAATATGCATGCCAGAATGACTTCTACAAATTGGTTAAAATTATGTTTCTTTCTCTCACCAATACTGAACACAACATAACCAGATCTCATTAATACTGAAGAGTAGCCAACTCATAATGGCCATGTGTTGATTTCTTCCTCTTAAATGTGTGCTTTAATTTTTTGAGATTTTCTAAATGATGAAAGTTTAAATAGCAGGATCAATGAATAATTCTCCTGTGAAGAACTCCCTGAGGCTGGAGGAAAATCCCTTCAAGGACCATTTATGGCCTCCATCTCTACAGCCAGCCCCTGTCTGCATTCTGTAGGTTATCTTCTTTTAAAGAAAAGGTTCATACTGACTGAGAAATTTGTGTTCTACTGAAGTCAGAGATTAAAGAAATGAAGTTACATTCCACAAAGATTAAGGATAGTTAATATTGGCTCTGACCTGCAGTTATGTAACATATTTATGCATCAGGATATACTTATATCAGTTTAGTAATTGTTTTAAATTATTTTAATGAAGTAAGTTTTTATAAAAAGGATGTCCGTGAATGGGAAATGTCTCTGAAAATTCATTCACTGAAAGGCAAACAGTTCAGACACTAAGTCATGAAACTGACATTGCTATTTGATGCAATCCAATTGCATTTCCTCAACATTACCTGTTTTTCCCTAAAGTTTATTTTATTTCTTTAAATTGCTTTGGACCCTGTATTACATTATTTGAATGTATAACTTTCCTTATCCACTAGAAGACAAATTCTTTGAGGACAAAAATGAGATCATATTACACTGGACAGCCCTTTCAGCATTGGGCACTGAATGCTTGGTACATGCAGAACAATCAACACACAGAGCAAAAAGAATGAATGCATAAATTAGTGAGAATATTAAAATGCCTGCCTTAGCAACCAAGACTCACATAAGGACTCCAATCAGTCAGATAAAGTTAACTTTTTAATAAAGTTAGTTTTTGTGAAAAGGCATCTAGCACTTTAATAAATTATGGGTATTAGAAATGAAAAAGGGCCAGAGATTTAGCTCAGTGGTTCTGCCACCTGCCTCACAAGCGCAAGGTCCCCAGTTTGATCCCCTGTACCAAAAAAAAAAAAAAAAAAAAATCC